GCAGGTCCAGGCAGTGTTTCATTCTGTTGTACATAGGGTTACTATGAGACAGAACTGACTCAACCATGTCTAACAACAACAACAACATTACTGTCATAAAATATTATTTCCAGTCTTGAAGTGCTTCCATCATCTTTGAAATGTGCTTGATATTGCTTTCAAGTAATTACAAACATCATCAATAGCAAAGGACCACATCTCCAGCTATATTCCACCTAACCAGAATTCTCTAGAACTCAATCGATGAAGTCCTCAGACCAACAAATCCCAGTTGTTGAAGTTCTCCAGTAAGTCCCAGCAGCATTAGCAATAGGGAACAGAACCCTGACCATAATCCTCTTTGCAGTCTTGACTTGCTACCAAACTTGTTCAAAGACCTGGTTGGAGGGGAAAAGCTTTAAGAGAAGGTCTTTTGAAGTTCCAGAATAATAGATGTGGTTTAAAGTAAAACCAGTATTAATTATTGGGAGCTAAAAGCAACATTTAAATACGCCCATGTTAGAAATGAACAGTAGAATAAGGATCCCTTAAAAAGGGAGAGCATCAAGTGGACAAGAGACAACTTATGACAAAGTAATCAACATTATATCTTTTTCATCATCAAAATACCTGGTTCAAAGTATTGCATTCAAAATACCTGCTTAATAAATAAATGAAAAGTTAATTAACAAACTCATAGATTGCCTGAGAGTCATGAGATGATGAGACATTACTCTTATTTGAGGAACTAGACTTTATGTATGTATGCAAGAATGTTTGCCTGTTTATTACTTTATAAGGAAGAATTATGTACACACTACTTCCTTCATCCATTTTCTCATTCGAAAAATATTTTCTGGGCACTCCCTAAAGTCACCGCACTAACACAGACACAAGGAACGAAGAAGCAAAGGATATTATTTGTTTCCTCCACAAGTTCACAATCAAACTAAGCCAATATTATATGAACTCTTACTATGGATCATAGGTGGAGATTATCAAACAACCCACTTTAACAATATCAAATATTAATTGTATTCCAGATATCTGCCCTGTCATGCACTCATGAGGCATATGGCGTAAGCGTCATTATAGGGACACCTCCTGTTTCCCAAGACCTCAGGATGGACCCTATGTTACTATTGACTGGACGTACCTGGAAAGGAGCAATTTTTGGTGGTATGTAGTTAGGCTTGAGGATCAAATTTTTATAATTTTGGGATTTGTTCCCTTTTACACATGACAAGGTCAGATTTTAAAAGCAACGTGGTTAAAAATAAAATTCCTGTTGTATCTAT